CCGACTCGCCCTTGCCTGTGTCTGCTGACCTTGCGAGAGCGCCTGTCGTACCCTTCACAGACAAGCCGGCCGTGACAGCGCAGGGAGGAGGACCTTCCGCTTTTGGGACGCCGACCGGAGCCGCAGAACCCACGGGACCTGCAGCTCTTCCTATCCCTCCGCGGACGCGAGTACGGGATGTTTCTGGACGCGAGCGGGACAGTGGCGGGCCTCCAATGGCGACGGAAGAACTTGCGCCCGTCGCCCCTAAAACCCTTCCACGTTCCCGCTCGGCGGGTGGGCCGCCGACCGTCCGGGACGGCCCGGCTACCCGTACTCGCTCGAAATCCCTCACGTTTCGTTAGATTGTGTTGTGTTGTGTTATTGTTATAATGTTCTTCAATGCTTCGTGTCTTTTTGCGTGTTGGCCCTTTACACCCGCATTGCTTTTCAGGTTGCAATTCAGCCGAGGTCGGCTGGATTTTCTTTAGGGGGGAGGGTGATGTAATGCGGTTGTAAACGGCCCTTCTGAGGTGCTGTCAGGGGGGGAGGAGTTAGGTCACGTGGGGGGAGAGGGGTTGAGTATAGAAGGAGGGGAACCGGAAGAGCAGGGGGAGTGACGGGGAACCAGGAACAGAGGAAGGCCACGAAGGGCGAAGCGGGGTGTGGCGAGATCGCCACGAACACGGGGGGAGCGAGGATCGGCACCGTTGGCCAGCGGTGACCGACCCGAAGCAGCGAGGAGGCTGCAGTCAGCAGCGGGGCTGCACAGAGAGAGTGGGCAGCGGGTCTGCATACAGTGACAGCCAGAGGGTCTGCACATAGGGGTAGCAGCAAGTCTGCAGGGAGGAGGTTACAGTAGATGAAGCAGAGAGTCAGAGGGGTGAGGAAGCTATAATAGCAGTGAATAGCCGGGGGCTACAAATACAGGAGTTATAACAGAGTGCCGTGTGGGTAAAGACGTGAACCTGAATAAAGACACGAAGACAGAAAGAAGTGTTCGAGTCCTTTTATTACACTCGTATAGACCTCGGATTGCAGAACTCAATTCTTGGAATGTTAAGTTAATCATGATAGAATGTAGGTTTACGAGAACCACGGTGTCTCGGAGGGTGGATCCCATTTCGACCAGATTCTTTTGTTGGTGTTGTATTTGCTGATGGATCTGATGCATATCGAGCTGTAAATTCTCGATACCTTGCGTGAGGTGTCCAATCTTTACGGCGTTGGATATGGATACTCCTAGTGTGATTAAGGAGCTAAAACCGGATAGTATTCCAAAGACCCCTCCCAGGCCGATAGACCTCTTGGAACGTGTTAGGTTGACAGTGGTGGGGGGAAGTATCATGGTTCTTTGTAATTGCTTCAGGATCGTTCCGATATTCTGTTCACTATATCTTAGGAAGTCATAATACCATATTCGGGTTGCTTTGGTGACTTGGGGTGGTAACTTCCCGAAGTGCTTCTTTACCACCAAGGCAGGTTCCAAGGAGACATAGACTTGTTGGGTTACTATTTTCGTTTCGGTTACTAGGAAGCTGGAGGAGTCTCTCAGCATCACCCCGGATTCTGGTCCTGGCTTGATCAGCTCTTGGCTCCCTTCTAGCTTGGCAAGGTACGTTAGCAGGAGCGTGAGCAGGAGGGCTGCCATTCCCTGGAAAACATGTTACATATTATTGTAGTGTGATAAGCCCATTAGTTTAGTTCCCCCCCCCCCTTTTCCACCTTTATTCCTCATCTTGCTCCACCAGCACAGGGTACGGTTTGATTTGGTTGATGTGCACCCACTTGTATTGCTGCTCTCTTCCTGTCTTTGTGATTTTTAGCTGATATACGACTGGGGACATTTTGTCAACAATCTCGTGTGGTCCTGTCCAGGAAGGCAGGAATTTCCTGCACTTCTGTTTCCTTTTCTCGTAATTGAGGTACCACACCTGGTCTCCTAGCTGGTATTCTGCGTGGCTGGCTTTTTGGTCATAGTATACTTTACTACCCTGAGCCTCTACTTGCAACTGGTCCCTGACCATAGCGAATGTGCTCTGTAGGTGACTATTGAGTCCCGTCAGGTATTCAGTTGGCGTCATTGCCGTCGGGGTCTCGTCCTCCGCTGGGACATATAACAGGTGTACTGGGGTCATTAGCCTCTCTGTCATGATCTCGAAGGGTGTCCTGCCTGTAGCTCGGTTGGGTGTGGCTCGCATGGCCATCAAGACTAGGGGTAGTTTCGTATCCCAGTCGCGGCCCGTGGTAGACACATATTTCTTTAGGAGGCTCACGATGGTCCTGTTGGCTCTTTCCACCTGTCCTGAGGATTGTGGATGGTATGCGACATGTAATTGTCTTTTTACTCCCAACATCTTCCACACTTCTGTGATGACCTCGGCTGTGAAGTGGCTTCCTTTGTCTGAATCGATCGTTGACGGTAGGCCCCATCTACTGAATATTTGGTTAATCAGTAGTATAGCGGTTGTTTCCGCGGTGTTGTTGGGTGCTGGTAAACACTCTGTCCATTTAGAGAATGCACAGGTCACAGTTAGCATGTACTTGTTCCCTTTGGTTGATCGGTTAACAGGTCCTATCCAGTCGATTTGTAGGTTGGACCAAGGATAATCTGTTCCCCTCCTCTGTAGGGGTGCCATATGCTGTGAGGTCGTTGGCTGGTACTTACAACACACGAGACAGTTGGACACATGTCTGTGTATGTCTTCCCCCATTTTTGGCCAGTAGGCCACCTGTCGCAGCATCTGTCCCGTATTCACCTCGCATCGGTGGCCGCTGCACGGTTCATTGTGGGCGTGTTGTAACATTATTTCTCGATATTGAGAGGGGACTACCCATCTAGGTCGACCGTCTTTTTCGTTTGTGTATACCAGTAGCCCTTTTCGCATTGAGAACCTTTTGATTTGGCTATGCATGATCTCGAGCTCTTTGTTGTCATTCAAGTTGTCAGTAGTGATTGGTTTTCCTGCTGGATCTTGGATATGATCGGCGAGTGTCTTTAGTGTTTCGTCTTCTTGTTGCATTCTGATCAGGTCTTCGGATGGCTGGGCACTGTTCAATTGGGCTCTGGTTCCAGCTTCTGCCGGGTTCTTCCCACTTCTTGTGACCAGTCTTATCACGGCGATGTCTTGGTTCGTCGACTCTTGTTGTCCGTCTCTGTCGGTTTGGTCTTCTAGCTTCCACGGGGTGCCTTCCAGGCTTCCCACTTTTGCTATGGCATCTGCTTGGTCGTTCCCAGTTTTCTCTTGACCAGGTATCTTGGAGTGCCCTTTGACTTTCTTTCAAAATATCTTCATATCCTTGTTCTGAACCATCTTATCTATGGCCTCGAATAGTTCTCGATGGTGAGTTGGTTTATTCCTATGGTTCTTCATCTCGTTTTTTTTCCATATGGGTAGGTGGTGCAGGAAGCTGTGCTGTACGTAGTTGGAATCAGTGCACACCACCATGGTCCGTATTTGGTTATCGGATGCCATCTGGATAGCGATGTGTACCCCGACCAACTCTGCATACTGGTTTGACTTTGGTCCCAGCTGAAATCCCTCTTGAATCCCTGTGAGTGGGCCAGTTTCCCAAATGACTCCTGACCCAGCGTGAGGCTTGTTCTCCTTCATCTTGGAGCATCCATCGATGTATACCACTGGTAGGTCGGCACATGTCTCCTTCCTGAAGGGCAGGTACCTGTTGTCCTCCGGAGGTATCTTTTCGTCCTCTGCTTCTATGCTGTCAAAGGTACAATCATGTAAATCGGCAAGACCTTGGGCCATTGGACTTTTCTTGTTTTTTGCGTATTTCACTGTGATTGGTAGGCCTTGGAGTGTCAGTGCCCAGCTGGCTATTCGGCTGCTGGTTACGCGGCCCTCTCGAATCTTCTTACTGTTGAGGTATGCCAAGGATTCATGATTCGTTTCCAGGATGATCCTCTCTCCGTTCAACAAGTTCCGAAAATGTTGTATGGCCCAGATGTTTCCAAATATCGCCTTCTCACACTCGGAGAACTTCATCTCCACTCCCCGGAGGGCTTTGCTGGCATAGGCAATAACTCGTTTCTCTGCTTCCTGTCTCTGGTACAGTACCGAGCTGATACTATGATCTGAGTATGCGGTCTCCAGGTAGTATTCTTTCCCTTTCTCTGGGTATGCTAGGCAGGATGCCTCTGTGATCTGTCGTTTTAATTCTTTTTCTGCGGCTTCCTGTTCCTGTCCCCACTCCCATGGTTCGTCTTTTTGCAGTAGTTTAACTAAGGGTCGAACGATTCCTGCGTAGTCGTCCACGAACTGTCGAAGGTAGTTGCAAATCCCTAAGAAGCTCCGAAGGGTCGTGACTGTGGTGGGCGATTTGAGTGCGAGGAGGGCTTCAAGTCTTTTGGTTTGGGGTAACATTCCCTCAGTGCCGACCTGGAGCCCGAGGTAGTCCACCCTTTTGCGTGCCCACTGTCCTTTTTGTATTGAGATCTTTGCGCCTGCTTCCTTTAACTGCTCGAGGGTATGCTGGAGGCTCTCGAGGTGTTCTTCCCATGAGGAGTCCTTGACTAGTATGTCGTCGACGTAGACGATGGTGCCTCGCTCTTTTGCGTCGCCCATCGCCTTGTGGAGGAATATGTTGAAGTCTGCAGGTGAGTTCGAGTATCCGAACGGGCAGCGATTCCAAGTATACTGTATTCCGTCGAAGGTGAAGGCCAACTTGTATTGATCGGTTTCTTTTACTGGCATGGTCCAGAAGCCATTTGCTAGGTCCATTGTGGTGAGAACCTTTGCGCCTTTTATTTGGTTGAGACCGTGGTCGATTTCTGCCATTGGCCATCGAGATAGGGGAACTGTTTTATTGAGTTGTCGGTAGTCGATCGTGAGTCTCCATTTTCCCGTGGGTTTTAGTACTGGCCAAATGGGTGAGTTGTAGGTCGAGTTGCATTCCCGGATTATGTTCTTTTTGAGTAGGTTCTCTAGGGTTTCTTGGATTGATTCATAGGCGGCCAGTGGAATCTTGTATTGTTTCACTTATACCGCTGGTGCTCCCTCCAGTGTGGGAATGGATACCACATGTAGGTCGGTTTTGCCACAATCATAGGAGTCTTTGGAGAACAGGGAGTTGTATTTTTGGAGCAGTTGTCGTAGCTCGTCTCGTTGAGTGTCGCTCTCTAGGGCGTCTGCTGCTTCAATTTGTTGTTCTATTTGTTCTTCTATTGTAAGGACTCTTTTCTCTTGGTTTGGATCTAGGGCCTTCGTGGTTTCGGGCGGCTCAGTTTGGTGTTTTCTTTGTGTTAGTGGTGGTTGGATCGCCTTTGCTTCACTCGAAGGGGGTGAGCTCTTGCCCTTGGGCTCTCCCTTTGTTTCCTGTTCACTTGTTTGGCCACTAGTGGGCTGTCGATATTCTCTGGAGTGATGGTCCTTCGGAAAAACCGGCCGTAGGTCGGCTTCATTACGGTCCTTTTCCCGTTCGTTGGTTATCAGTTGAGTGGTACGTATTTCAGCCGGAATCTTATTTTCCTCTTTGATTGTCGGTGGCAGGTCGTTGAGTTCTTGTGCTAGCACCTGGGTTCCTGTGGGGCTTCGTTCTTCTTCGTCCTCTGGATCTCTAGGCCATTCCGGTATTGATTGTGCCCAGATTTGTCGGGATCCAAGGTTCACAATGGGTTTTAGCCGATTCAGTAGTTCGATCCCAATAATCAGTTCTTTTTCTGGGTATTGTACGACATATAGTGGATGGTTCATGTTGATCCCGTTGAACGTGAGCTTCATCATAACTTTGCCCAATGGTCGCATGTGGGTCCCTTCACATCCTGAGTAGGTAAGTTTACTTGGCATCATTTGTAGTGTTTCATTCTTCCTCTGGAGGGCAGTCTGGAGCTCGTCAAATAATTCTCTGGATATCATGGATATTTCTGGTCCAGTATCACAAAGGCCCTGGCTGGTCAGGGTGTCTTGCAGTATTACTTCCACGTGGACTCGTCCGACTGGTCCTACGGGAATCAATTCCCCCAAATGGTACCCTTTTCCCTCTGGTACCACTTCGGTGATTGCTTCGAGGCTTCTTGTCTTCCCTACGTTCACTTGGGCTACCTTTGCTCTGGGTGTGTCCTCCTCCTGTGTGGGTATAGTTGGTATTCTTCCCTTCGCTACTTGCATGGGAGTCTTCATACTCCCTAGGAGCTCTTTTTCCATCCTAATGTGGTGAGCATATCGATTCCTGTTAGCTAACGGTGGTCTATGCCCTATTGCTAGTGGAGGCGGCAGTGGGGGACGATATGGGGACTGGTTTGGTGGGCGTCGGCCTCCGCGGGGTAGGTATGGCCCGTCACTCGCTCTTCCTCCTCCATAATTCCAGCCTCCGCCCTCTTCTGCATTCCATGGTGGTGGCGGCTGTGGGTGCCAGGTTCCTCTGGCCTCGTTCCTCCCCCCACGTGGAACGTTATTCAGCGTGTTGTGGACGGGTGTTGATTCTATTGGGTTAGGCGCCCTCTCCTGGGGGAATTCATGTCCACCCCGTGTGGCGCTAATATTATTCCTTGGAGATTCGCTTCCCTCCAGATCGAGGCATTCTTTATCTCTGGTGACGATGTGGGTTTTGGCTATGCCAGTGGTTTTCCGTCCGTTCACCCAGGCCGTGTGGGCCTTGCTTTCAATCTGGCGTAGGGAGGCAGTCTCGGGGTCCAACATCATTCCTACTATTCTCACTATTTCAGGTCTCAATGATTGGAAGAACATCACTTTTAAGACTGTCTTATCTCCCTGGGCATTGTCCACGTCCCCTGCGTAATATGCTTTCTTAAGGCGTAGGAGATAATCTCGTGGGTCTTCGTCTACACGCTGGGTCATCAACTTTGCCGCGTTCAATCCTTCGGATAGTGTGGAGTATTCCCCAAATCTCTTAACTACTGCTCGGCTCAATTGTTTAAAGTCACTCTTCACCCTATTTGGCAGGGAGGCTACCCATGGTCTGGCGGGTTCATGTAGGCTCCTTGATAATAAACATGCCTTTTCTGTTGATTTACCCAGACCCCGGATCTTAGCCTTCTGTTCTACTGTAGCTATGTGAGTGTGGATATCCCTGTTCTTGTTATGTGGAATAGGGAATTCTCACGAGTGCTTTGTCCATTAGTTTTAGTGTCTTACTGTTAAAAGTGTGTTGTTCGTCATCAGTGGTGTCGGTTCCTGAGGAGTGCTCCCTTGAGCTACCCTTGTCTCCACTATCACTGTTGTCATGTGTCCCGTGCCTGTGTCGTGATCTCCCTCTGTCCGAGGATTCGTATCTGTCCCGTTGCTTGTGTCTCTTGTTTTCCTTATGTGGGTCTTGTGATTCGTGCTTGTGGGTTGGTGTGCGTGATCTCCTTGAGCGGTGTCTATGTGGTGAGTGTTTTTGTCCTTGACCTTCATGCTGCCTACTACGTGTGTGGTGCCTGCTAGGTGAGGTGTTGTATTTATGTTTGTCTCGTGCTTCATGGTTATCGGGATTCCTGTCTCTGTCATCTGTGGTGCGGGTGGTTTTGCATGGGTGATTTTTACATGTCATGCGTCCCTCTGGTGAGCTCTCTCTGTTACCCATGTCGTGTTGGTCATCGTCAGAGGAGTCAGTGTCAGATGAGCCGTCACCATCACGGTGGCTCTGCTTAACATAACTTTTGTAGTGCCTTTTGCACCTGTTACGTGGGTCAACTTGGCTCGGTGATTTCTGCTTATCCCATGGCTCATGCTTGTGTGATGTGCGTCTCTATGGTGAGCTCCTGTTACCCGTGTCGTGCTGGTCGTGTTTGTGCGAGGTGCGTTTCTCTGGTGAGCTGTCTTTGTCATCTGCATCATGTCGGCCATACTTGCGTAGCGTGCGTCTGCCTGGTGTGCTGTTTATGTCATGTTTCCCGTCTTGCACCAGCTCCGCCCTTTTCCGCTCTATCATTACAGTGTATCCTGATGACTTAGGGTTAATTATTTGTCTCTCTCTAACGTTGGGGTGGTCGGCCTCATGTTTTCCCGTTCGTATTATTATTTCCTCTTCTCTCTCCTCGATTTGCGAGGGTGTTACTTTGTCAAAATTGCTTTGCATAGTAGCCATACTCATTGTGGGATCTGGCCCTGGGCTACGTCCACGTGGCTCGGAGTGTGGTAAATTGTTACTCCCGTATGTGTTCTGTGTATCAACGTCTGGGTGTTTCACTGGTGCATTTAGTGCGGATTCTTTCTCTCTCACGAGGGCGTGCAGACGCTCTACCTGCACCATTAAGGACAGTTTCTCTTGTCTCTCCCTTTCAAATTTTTCCTCATTCCATAATCTTTCTCTGTCTGTCTGTGCGAGGAGATACGAGTCTACCCTCGCTATTTCTGCAATTTTTACGTCACGTTTGGCTTTGCCACATTTCATCACGTCCTTAAGTAGTTTCCTTCTATGGGCCTTAACATCTTCTGTATGGCTCCCCTCCCATATATCTCTCTGCTCGGTCTGCTGGCTAGCAGTCCGTCCAGTACGTTTTAACACAAATTCCCGATATTGTTTTTCCATAGATTCCATCTCCTCCTCAGAGGTCCACTCTGTATCAGTGTTATGCGTTGGTGTGTCAAACTCAGAATGTTGTGGATCCTGTGCCATCTCTATTATGTAGTGTGGTTAATAGACTTAAGAGTGTATCTTAATTCTAACATCTCATGTGCGTCGTGAGTTACTCTAGAATTCCCCTTCAGAGCACATATAAACAATTGTATCACAGGATGCGTCAGTTCAACTCGAGCAAATAATCTCAGCCCAGCTGTCTTTGTTATACTCTGCTACTCTGGTATCTCCCTTCAGAGCGCGTTTTGTTTGTATACCCCCGTTTACAATCACAAGGCAACGTTAGTTCACAACACTTTGATTAACACATCAGTGATTCGTTCCTGAATTCATGCATAAACTGTCTGCGAGAGATCCCGGGCGACGCCACCCATTATGTTGTATATGTTGGTTATCGAAATTTGTTATGTTGTATGCGTGCGTGGGTGAAATTATTATGTTGTATATGTGGGTTATGAATATTCAGTGAAAATAATAATAATTAAATGAAATTTGGCCAAATGTGTAATTATCCGGAAATATGTTAATTTATGTAATTATGCACATTTTAATTATGCCAATTCGAGAGGTAATCGTATTAATTATGCGAGTGGGGGTAATTATGATAATGCAAGTCGTTATGATAACCAGACCCCGCCTCGGTGACGAGGGTGGGTTATCGATCGGAATAAGGCAATTAATCGTATGCAGTTATGCAGGTGTGGTGTAAGTATGCAAGATTAACTTAGATTAACTCGGCATCGTTGTCTAGGTTCGTCTCATTCTCGCTTTAACATTCCCAGAGTGTGTATTCGTGGTTATATTTTAGGTCCCCGGTTCACCCCGTTATCGCTTTAACATTTACTGAGTATGTATTAGTGTGTTTATTAAGGTCACCAAGTTCAGATCTCAACGCAGAAGCAGATCTTATGCATAGATTTCAGGAAAGAATCACACAACCACTTCTGTATTGATCAATTTATTACTAATTCAACCTTAACTATGATATAGTATGCGAACTCTCAATCCCGGAACGTCAACACGGCATTAATACAGTATCATCAACGATTGTCTGATTTCACTTTGACAACGGCACATTGATCCCGCATAACGCGATGGTTGTTAGTGAGAGAGAGAGTCGTTAAAATATGCAAATACTATGCTAAGAAAACCTTAACGTTAATGAATGATTATGCTCAATATTGTTCACGCAGTACCGCACTCCTTATTGATCATACGCAACCCTTATCACGTTGTTAGCACCTTGGGTCACGGGACAGTTGAATATTTTGTAGAGGATGCAAGTACGTGCGGCGATTATGATTAAAAGATACTTGAAAGATTATACGGCGATAAAAAAACACAATCAAAAACAGTTATTATTCTTAAAGGCACCAATCTCAACAGATACATCGGCAGGTTATCTGACAACAGAACGGCTCGGAGTAAGGGCCTGCGACGGTGCTCCTTTTCCGAAGATCGTTATCTTATACCAAGTTTACTAATTGGGGACCAGATCACCTGATAA